AGAACATTAATTTATTATCTGTTTGAATAATTCATATATTAAAAAAATATGCGGTGCCTAGGAATCGAACCCAAAGACCCTTCACTCGAGTCAGTCAAGTCGCCTTACCATCGAACACGACTTTGGTCATGCTCGAGATGAATTTTTTTTCTTATTCGCTTTATTGAATCAGTTCTATGACTCAAACCTAATCCAATCGTGGTGCGCCCCTGATCCATCCAAACCCAACCCAAATCCGGCGAGGGGCGGGAGTAGGGTCTCCAGGGCGGCGAGCCTCTCCGGCGGCAGCTCATCGATGAACCGCTCTAGCAGCCTTAGCTGGTATGGGATCTGAGCCAAGGAGGAAAGCTTCAATGGTAGCAGTGCTGCTCCCGAAGGCACCTGTGTAAGAGTAGGTTCTCTGCCGTGGCGTGCCTCTCGGCATCTATGGCGAGCTTCTCGGCGGATAGCTCTGGCGAACCACTTTAGCCACCCTAGGTGATAGCAGGATGCAGTTGGGCGGGCAGCTGCTGCAGAGCTGTCTTCTAGCTTTTACTAGCGGCGTGCTAGATGGCTATTGGAGGTATTGTCCCTCCCATTGCTTGCAATTTGTAGAGCGATAGATGTTTAGACAAGGATTGGTAGAGCGCTTCATGGCTTTTGTTCATACTTAGGCCTAATTTTTTTTGCATTCGGAAATGGAGAAGTAACATGGATTAGTAACTACTTTTTTCAGCGATGAGTTCATGCGGTGTTGATCATTTATGTCTTTTGTTCGAGATAGATTCAAATCGAATGATGCTATATGTTGCCCATGTCACAATTGTCCGAATCAGTCTTCACGAGTTTGAAAGATGTGCATGACGTTTATCTCCATGGATGGTCAGCTAATATACTCGACTACACCATGGAGAAGATTTTGATGTTGACATTGTGGAATTTGGAGAGGATGAAAATGTTCGGGTGATGTGGTAGATGTGGAGGAGCCCGACAATGAAGATGATCATGATTCAGAGATGATTGCTTGTGAACAAGATGTATGTTTGTGAAAGTTCTTGAAGATGCAAAACATGCTCTTTGCCCGGGTTTTCAAGGTTCTTTTTCTAGTAAGATTGCTACATATCAAGTCATTTAAAGTTGAACACAACATTTAGTGCATTTTTGAAGTTATTGTAATATCATTCCTAATTGTTGTCTTCCTAATTCATATGACAAAGCAAAGAAGTATCTCAAAGAGTTGGGCCTTGGATATGAGTTAATCCATGTCTATGACAATAACTTGTGTTGTTTCATGTTGAAAAACATGACATCTCAAAAATGCAAGGAATCTAGGTGGGTAGATGGAATGTTTAAATGTTCCTAAAAAGATTTTGAGATATTTTCCTCTTATACACTGAGGATGTTTGCAAACAAAGCAACATCAACCGGTGGCACAAGGATAAAAGGGTTGTGGGAGAATGAAATGACCCATCCAAATGATGGCTTAGCCTTTGGAAAGATTTTGATGTTGTGTTTCCAAGCTTTGCTAGAGATGCCGAAACCTAAGGCTTGGTTTAGCAGAGATGGGTTTAATCCATTTGAAAACATGAACACAACTTATAGCATGTGGCCTGTACTTGTAAAGGTATACAATCTACCTCCATGGTCATAATGGATCCAATTAATGGCATTGCTCATCCGTGACCAAAGTCTCCAGTGCAAGGACTTTGAAATAATATTCTTACACCTCTCATTGAGGAATTGTTAAAACTTTAGGAGGAGTCAAAATATGATATTCAAGATAAGTTTGACCTTCATGCTTGAATGTATGGTGCATCCATGATTATCCATTTTGGGTGTATTGTCTCAGGCGAAATCACTAAAGGTTACTATGCATGTATCTATTGCAACAAAGATCCATTATCAAGGAGTCTTAGGAAGAAGATATGTTACATTGGACACCGTCGCTATCTTGATAAAACCCACAAGTGGAGAAGAAGCTTGGCCTTTGATGGACACCGAGAGAACCGGGGTGAGCCAGGAAAGTTGAGTATGCATGAGACATCGGAGTGTCTAGAGAAATTAAAAGATGTTACTCCTGGTAAGGCTGATGGTACCAAGAAAAGGAAGCGAGGACAGAAGGACAAGGAGCCAAAATTATTTAGCCGAAGGTCCGCTCTATGGGACCTTCCTTATTGGAAATACTTGAAGCCACCACATAATCTTGATGTGATGCATATAGAGAAGAATATATGTGATGCCCTTCTAGGCATAATACTCTATCTTGAGAAGAATAAGGATACAGTTAATGCGAGACTTGATTTGCAGGATATGGGCATACGTCATGATTTGCATTTAGAAGAAGATGAAGACAATTCAGTTTCCATGCCAGCAGCATGGTATTCCATGGAAAAAGAAGAAAGGGTTGCATTTTGTGTATTTCTAAAAAGTGTTCGATTTCCATATGGATATGCTTCCAACCTGACAAGATGCATTAGTTCAGATGGTTCCAAGGTGCAGGGCCTCAAAACCCATGATTGCCACATCCTTCTTCAAAGAATTTTAGCTATTGGTCTCCGGGGACTAGTGCACAAGGACATATATGTAGCGGTTGCAGAGTTGGGTAAATTTTTCCAGGAGCTTTGCAGTAGGAAACTAAAGGTTGATAGATTGAAACATCTAAAAGCAGAAATCCCTATGATACTTTGCAAGTTAGAGAAAATATTTCCTCCTGCCTTTTTTTATGTGATGGTCCACTTAGCTGTCCACCTTCCCGATGAAGCACTCCTAAGAGGTACTGTCCAATATGGATGGATGTACCCAATCGAACAGCAAATGGGCACTTTGAAGGGGTATGTGAGGAACAGGGCTAGACCTAAAGGGTCCATCGCTGAGGCGTACATAGCTAATGAGGCCTTGACCTTTTGTTCAAGTTACATGGAAGATGTTGTCACTAAATTTAATCGAGATGATGAAACATGGCATCATGGAGCAACTGATGGTGACCTCCCTATATTCCAGCATGGTGTTAAACTCTTGGGGGCCAACAGGCAGACATATCTTGATGATAAAGAATTTCACAAGATTTGTTGGTATGTGCTAAATAATAGTGAGGAGGTAGCGCCATATTTGAGGTGAGTTTTGTTTCTAAATTATGTAAGTGTGCAGCAAACTGTGTGTGCACCTGACAAAGAAAGTTTAGGAGTGCAACAAACTGTTTCTCAAGACATATTGTAAACTGTGTGTGTAGCAAGTTTAGAGGAGAGTTAGACAAAGAAGGTGGCCATGATGTTGAGAAGAGGTTGGAAAAGGAATTCCCTGCTTGGTTTAGGAGTCATGTAAGTGGTTCCAGATTTATTTTTGACTTGCTTGGTTTAAGATTCATATTGCAGCAAGATGCATATTAGATTCATACTTGATTTGACTTATTTTGCAGCAAGATTCATATTGCAGCAAGTTTCACTCAATTATGTGTGCTGGTAATCATAGTTGCTTTGACTTATTTTGTTGTCTTTTTAGATCAAGACTAAGTGGAAGGATAATCGAGAAGAAGTTAGTGAAGGGCTATATGCAATATCATGTCCTCCTGACCTAAGAGTGAACTTATGGGCATCATGCAGTGTCAATGGTGTTCGATACAACATTGTCGACCGTGAAAGACAAAGGCAGACACAAAACAACGGTGTGCTGGTGGATGGAACACATAATGGATTGGCGACATAATTTTATGGTCAGCTCAAAGAGATAGTTGAGTTGAGCTACAACTCCAGTTTGGAATGCATTCGAACGGTCGTACTTTTTCGGTGTGACTGGTTCAGTCAAGATGGCAAAGCTAGAACCATTAGAGATGATGGCCTTTTTAGATCCATCAATGTAGAGAGGCTTTGGTACAAGACGGATCCATTCATATTAGCAACTCAGTCAAAAAAGGTCTTCTATGTGTAGGACACACAATTTGGCAAAAATTGGCGTGTTGTCCAAAAATTTAAGCATAGGAGCATGTATGATGTCAATGAAGTAGAATTGAGCACTGTTCACCAAGATGAAAATGGTTCTGATAATGAGCTTGGGGTACAAGATGATGTTGATGATGGCTTGGATGAGCCTACACCAGTGCACCGACGTGTGGGTGGCCAAAAATCTACTGTTCCTGGTAACTTACAAGTTCTTATCAATAGAAGGGAAAAAGACATGGTTGAGGACAGTGACTCTGAAGGCTGTGAAGATGATACTATCTTTGAGTATTTTAGTGACAATGATAGGGATCCCATGGAATGTAATGATGATGATTAGATTAGCTGTCATTTGTAGCTGTCTAAATCTAGGATGTTGATTGAGCACAAACAATTGTAATTGTGACTCTTTTTTTTTTAGTACTGTCTTTTCTAGGATGTTGATTGAGCACAAACATTTGTACCTGTCTACTTCTGGATGTAGATGTATCTGACTTTTTCTCGGGATGTTGATGTTCCTGTCAACTTCATTGTATTTTTCTAGGATCACAATTGCAATTCACTGTATTTTTCTGGGATCACAATTGCAATTCATCTGTATTAGACAAGTCACAAACAATTGAAGAGGTAGATCTTTAGTTGGCAATTCACAAACAATTCTCACACAATTGATACCATGAAGTCATTGATACATTGATTCTAGGAAGTCATTGATACATTGATACCAGAACTCATTCATACACTTCTCAAAATCCAACTCAGTCGAGACTAAGCTAATGGATACAGTTCTCCAAAGTTACGACATACAGTTCTAAGACTTAGCTAATACATAAAACTCATTCAAACTAATCTAATTCAAACATTGATACAACTCTTTCATAGTAGCTGAAGCATCATAGGCCTTGGCTGAGGACCTTTACTGCATGTGGCCACCAGAGTGCCAAACAGACAGACAAGTGCCACAGCAAGGACCTTCATAGAACGACAATGACCTTGACAAGTGCCTTGGCCTCCTCCTTTCTCCTTGACAAGTGCCTTGGCCTCCTCCTTCTCCTTGACAAGCTCCTCCTTCTCCTTCACCAGTACAACTTACTTGGCATGTGCTTCATCCACCAAATATGCTAGTTCACTGTTCTCCACTTCAAGATATTTGTTCTTCTTACGAAGTGCCTTGACTGCATCTTGCAGATCAACAAGTATTTCAATCTGATGCTCAGTTGGCTTTGGATCCAGCCACTCCTAGAAATTACAACCACCATCCTTGCATCCATAAGAAAATTGCACTTTGTTAGACAAACTATATATAAATGAACTCATTGCAAATTGAACTCAATGTAAATTGAACTCACCTGATATTTGTAGCAGCAGTGATACCTCCTTCCTAGATTCGCATCACTCCATGATACCCACCTGGGTGCCCTCTCATCGTAGAAGCAATTGACTGCTGGCGTGTACGAGTAGGGCAGATGGCGATATGGAATTGGGGAGGCATTTGGGGATGACTCTCCATAGCGTGCAATGGAGTTTTGGGATGAGCTTGACCTAGAGTTGGTTGCCATGGCGCTCGAACCCTAACCGAGGTGGTTTGGAGCACGACGGCGGGGCTGAACGGTGGGTGGGAGCACAGCAGCGGGGTTGACCGCTGGGTGGGAGCACGGCGGTGGGGATGGACGGTGGTGTGGACCCGCGGCGGCGGGGGCTCACCGGTGGAGTGGACGCGCATTGGCGGGGGCTCGCCGGTGGAGTGGACGCACGATGGCGGGTGCAGCAGATTTGGGGCATTTGGGCGGATTGTGTTCGATTTGGGGGATTTGGGCTGCGGGCGTTGGGTGGCTGACGGGTAGGCCAACCCGATCAGCTCTTGAACTGGTTGGACTCGGTTCACCTCGGGTAAGAGGCTGACGGGTGGGCCCATGATGGTCAAATCATGGTCAAATCCACGATTTCAGTGTATTTTGATGTAGATTTGAACCTAATTTTTGATTGCAATGTTAAGTGCAACATTCAAGTAAAGTAATTGTACCTTGATCACTAAAGTTCAAAACGGTTCATATATATCAATGGATAAGATATGTGTGTTCATGCATAAGATATGTGTGTTCATATATCAAGTGAAGTGTGTTCATTTAATCTTATGTGATCTTATGTAATGCCTACCTATTTATGTGTGTTTCTATATCAAATCATGTATACTATCTTAAGTAGTGCATAGTTTAAGTGCATATAGCTATGATAGGAGACATAGATCTTATGTGTATAACCAAGCACACATACATGGATCGATGTATATGATCTTATGAAGTAAACAAATGCCACATACATGTGTGTTGTTAGAACATTGTTAAGTGTTTGAATTCATTAATGCACTCACTAAATAAGTAGTGTAGTGCACATAGTACTTGGGATATATATCATCCTATAATGTATATATTGCACACAAAATAAGACCTACATGTCTCTATAATTTTAGAGCCCACAGATTATCATCTTTCACATTTACTTTGAAAAATCAAAGAATGTTTTCATATATATTATATAATGACTATAAAATTTGTAATTTTGATGTATCAAAGAAGGTTACAAAGACTAAAAAATATCATTTTGGATTACTATGGTACATAAAACATCATTATAAACATAAAAGTCTGAATCACAGGCAAATGGAAATTGATATCAATTTTAGAGAAACAAATATCATTTTTTGAACACAAAAATAGTCCCCAAAAGCTAAAGAAAGAACCATTTTTTCCTAACAAAAAAAAAGAAAATTCTTTTCACTCCTCCCGCCTAAATGCCCCAGTGGTCGACGCGAATCCCCCGCCCAAACTTTGGTAGCTGAGAAAATCCCCTAACTGCCCTCAAGCACGTCGACTCTTGATTGACTATAGCAGGGGTAAAATAGTAAATATACAATGGACTATATATCCGTGAATCAACTCCACTCGTTCGCCTCCACCGCCGCCCTCCAAGATCCCCTACGCCGCTGCCCACCTAGAGCCCACCCACCGCCACCCTCTTACCGCCCAGATCTACCGCTGCCCATTTCGCCCCGCTCAGATCCGCCACAGAGACGTGACCTGCGACCCAGAGACGGAGGAGCCACACGACTACATCGTCGGAGATCGTCCACCCCAACGGAGATACAACTCTCATCAATAATGCCTAAATGAACCGCAACACTCCTCTACCCCCCGAGCCTAGGTTCTGTCGAATGCTTCCCCTTTTAGGTGTATGGTTTTGTTCACTAGGTAGGGTTTAGGTTTTACGGATTACTATGTTCACTAGGCATGTGTTCACTAGGCAGGGTTTAGGTTTTACAGGATGACGGGTAAGATGTTAGGGTTTATTGTTTAGGTTTTATGGTGTAGGGATCAATTGGACTAAAATTCATTTACAAATAAATAGGGTACTATGAAAGGCTGAGGGACTTGCAAGTCGCGGAGAACAAAAGGTTCATGGAATCCTTGGGTATTCGTACCTTGGCCACTTCTATTAATGAAAGCATGGCAAATGCAAGTTCTCAGAACCCGGACAAGCCAAGAAACAAGAATGGTCTTGGGGAGGGGTCAGATTCATCGAAGTATCTTCCTAGAGCTGAGGGCGACCAGGAAGAGGAAGATGAAACAGTTGTGGTGGGTTTTTTTTACATTACACTGTGCGATGTACATTTTAATGCAGGTTCTAATAACAGATTTGTTTACCCTTCTGTATTAGGAAACTGAGAAAAGCAACAAGCGGGGCACAAAGTGGAAGAAGAAGACAAAGATGCCTCCAGGTGGCTCAAAAAGAGTCAGGGCAAATTGGCGGCAGTGAGGCAACTCCTGGAGTTGCAACCAGGTCTAGAAAGAAGTACATCACCAACCACCCCACAGTTATGGCTGAGGGACAGTCAACTCCGCTACCAGAGAACAATGAGACAACAACTATGGGACAAGGGGAAGAAGAACATCCCCAAGTCCTGTTCTGGGCTTTTCTATATTTGATGACCCAAATAATACAAATGAAGATGAGGTCATAGAAGAGTTAGATGCTATTCCTCAAGGCAAGTAATAGACCATGCTTTATCACATTCTTTGCTTTACTTGGATTACTCTAACACTAACAGCATCACTTTTGTAGCTCGACAACGTGCTCCAAGAAAGCCAAGACCACCAACAAAAGGCAAATTGCTGGACAATATGACAAAATCTATGGGAAAGAGATTGCCAATTGAAATTGCTGCAGGGAAGAGAAGGCCAGAGAAGCCTGTACAAGCTGCTAAGCTAGCTTCAGAGGCTGGACTTATCACTAGGAAGAGCATGTCTATCCTAACTCACTAGAAACATTACAAGAAGGATGAAAGCCAACTGAAAGAATTCATGGGCCAGTTATCTGTAAGTAAATTGATACCTTCTATATCTATTTGGTACCTTCAATAAGTAACTATACCAAATGCTAAGAGCTAACTCCGCTGGGTGATTGACTTTTGTAGGTTAGGTTGGCAGTTGATGACAAGGATGAGCCAACAGTTCAAGCCTGCAGCAATATACTCCAAGGTGCTGTACGCCAGAGGAGATATTTGTTGAAGAACAAGTACTTCAATGGTATACCGGCTAATGAAGTCCCCACTACTTCCCTTGTTCCTAGTATTTCTGACGACGAGTGGAAGGCACTCGTGGCGATGTGGTCTACTCCAAAAGCAAAGGTATCATGATGTTGTAAAGAAAGTTTTCTATTCTCTCTATGTTGTCTTCCATTTACATATATGTCTTATAGGAAACTGCTCGGAAGAACAAGATAAACTATGAGAAGGTTAGACACCATCAAGCAACGGGATCTCGAAGCTACATCTCACACTTGTATGCATTTGTAAGTGCTAAAACACTAGGACAATACATTGTATCTGATTTAAACATACATATCTATTTCCTATAAAGTTGTCTACAACAAACAAAAGCTAATTTTGCTGCATTTCCCGCTATAATTATGTAAAGAAGGAGAAAAACAAGGACAGAGAGGTGGATGCAGTTGAGATCTTCAAGGAATTGCATACCAACAAGAAGAAGGGTATGACTGTTGTGGTCAAAGAAACAGTTGTAAGTGCCTACATATCATTGCTTGTTGGGATTGAGTATATGTGTGAATTTATGCTAATTATAGTTGCTGGATGGGATTAGTACATGGAAAGTATGTTCATATGCTTAGATGTTGTGTGTCAATGGTTCTATCAGTTCTTTATGAAATGGAAGGTTGTTCTACATGCTTGCTAGAGGGGATGAGTACATAGAAAGTTATTCATGTGTTTATGCCTATATATGGAATCATATGTTGTGTGCATTGTTCTAAAATGTTAAGTTGTGTTCCTATATGCTTGTGAGATGCTAAGTTGGGTTCCTACACCCTTGCTGGAAAGGTTGTGCATGGTTGAGAAATGCTAAGTTGGGTTCCTACATGCTTTCTAGAAGGTAGTGCATGGTTTTGTCTGTACATGACTGTGAAATGCTATGTTGATGTTCCTATATGCTTGCTAGGTGAGATTAGTACATAGAAAAGATGTTCCTATATGATTGTTGGTTGTTACTTTTCCTATATGCTAGCAGGATGGTCCTATCTGTGCTTAGGAAATAAATAGTTGTCCCTATATGCTTGCTGGATGGCATTATTACATGGATAGGATATTCATATCTTTGATGTTCATGTACTTTAAAATGTATGCATCAATATGTTTTGACATGGTTTTCATAACTTGGCTTGTGAAATAGATTCTGCATAATGAACTTACTAATGTTGCACCTGTTTGCTGTAGAGTACCATGGAAGATATGTTGGCCTAGCCTGCTCAAGACTTGGAGACACCAAGATCTAGTACTAAGATAGTTTCGAAGGTTCTCTCACAAACCAGTGTAGCTTGTACATTCCTCAAGAATGCTGGTATTGAAACACCAGTAAGCAAGTCTGCTGCATCAGCTACAAGAGAGGCACAACTTTGGGAACAGCTACAGGTGGAGAAGGAACGGGCTGATAATCTTGAAGAACAACTGGTCCATCTAAAGAAGAAAGCTACAGAAACAGAAGAATCCATGGCTAGGACCCAAGAAGTTGTGCTCAAGAACCAGCAAGAGCTGGAGGAGTTCAAGAAGAAACAAGAAGCTAATGATATGATCCTTTAGCGCATCTTGGGCCTCAACTCAGGTAATTGAGCTACTTAGCTTGTTCCTATCCTACCTAGGTTCCTCTGCAGTCCATGGTTGTGCTGGGCCGTGTCGCTACTGCTGGTACTCGTGTCGCTACTGCTGGTACTCATAATAAGTTGCTGAACTTGGTCTGTATGTTGTCGCTTGTGAACTTATTTTGTGATTGCCTGGTCTGTGGAACTTGTTTGTGAACTTGTGGTTCAAGTGATGTGAACCTATTGAACTTGTGGTTCCCCTGAGTTTGGGAACTTTGGTTGTGAGAACATTTAAACATGTGATGTATAAACTGTGTATGATGTATGAATTGTTGTATGTGGTAAATTATTTCTGTTTCTGGAATGAGTGATCAGGCACGGCTGCAGCCTGTATTTTATCCAATCAAAGAAT